ATCGGGAAACATTTATTCTGTTTTAGTTTTTTCGCTGAGCCGTGTCATTCAGAAACCTGGAAAGTTTCAGTCTTGCAGTGGGTCTGCAGTAAGAGAGGCTGTGGTACCTCCATCCTTAGAGGTTTTTAAGACCAGGCCAGATAAAGCCTCGGCTGTGATGATATAGCCCAGGGATGGTCCTGCTTTGAGCAGGGGGTTGGACTACATGACCTCCTGAAGTCTCTTCCAACCCTAATTTTCTAAGATTCTTTGACTCTAATGACCTGAGCTGATGGATACTGCCAAGGATTTTTTTCTGAGCATTCACTCTGCGGGGTCAGTGTTATACCCTCAGAAGCATGAAAAAAAATCTTATTTCTTTAATGTTTCTCTGATTGCAGCATCCATTGCTGATATGGATATACTATTGCCATGATAGACTATTGCCAAAAATAATATAAATTATCACAGCTCCACAATTATTTTGTGCTCCTGCTATCAGCTGGATGGCTGCTTCCTTAGTAACAAAGCCCACAATAAAGATTTATCAGTAAGCAACAGTAAGTGGGATACTTGGATGAGTGTGTTGGTTTGTTTTAAATCTGTACAAGATAAGGAATCCCAGATGTGTAGCCCCAAATTTGAACTCACCTTTAAGTGTTTTTTTCAGCTAGCATGAAAACTAAGCATCCTGCCTTGGAGTGTAATCCAAATCCCCTCCTACAGATTTATAGCTCTTATTCTTTCAAGGGGCAGCACCGTGTTTCTCCCCCAACCCCTATCTCTACCCCCTATCTCTACCTCAAGGGACCAATAATTGATATTGATATTGACCCTGCATTGATATTCATCTTTCCTATTCTGATAATGAGAAACCCAGTTAGCCCAGTGGGTATTTGCTGATCCTAGTCCACTCTCCTATTCTTCCAATGAGAAACCCTTACATGGCAATGTCATAAAGGAATCCAGCTGATTGCATCTGAGCGACACATCCAACTGATGTAATGGATGTTACATCCACCGTTAGCCCAGTGGGTTATTCATAAGGACATCTTACCCAGGGAATAAGAGAACCAGATTCTAGGCTCCCCCTCACCCAGAGAGGGTTGGAACCCACATCTCTCACTGCTCACCAGTTCTCTAAACCCCAGATCATGGTCTAGGCAAGATGAAGCATACCCTCTACTGGGCAGCAAAGAAAGAAAGAGTTACTTGGCCAGAATAAGAAAATGCAGGAGCAAGAGTGGGTTTGGGAGGGAAGGAGGCCTAGGCTCTGGCTCCTAGTTCCCATGCAGTTCATGCATTTTTATCCAATGACTATTCAATGCAAAATATAGTAATAGCACTGGGAGCATAGGCAGGGAGCACAACTCAGGATCCAGGGTATGCTTCCTCCTGGTAAAGTACCCTCCTCACTAAACCACAGAGTCATGCTCCCCATTGTTTAAAGGAAATCTGAGATTGTCACATAATCACCCAAGTCCAGGAGCTGAGACTTTAAGAAAAACAGCAAATGGCACCTGACCCAGGATAAAACTACAATACCAGACATCCATGCAATGCGAGGCTGACATTTCCCATGTGACAAGACCTTAGCCTTTTGTAACCCCAAGAAATGCAGTCATTTATCTGTTGTATACACATTCATTACACTTTTACCAGATGGTGACTGAAAAAGTGCTTCAGTGTGTTATGGGTTACCCAGTCTGTCACTGGGATCATCTGCATACAGCTAAGGTTACAAAGAGTTGGGATGCTGGAAGGCTGTGCTTCCTGCCCCTGCCAGATCCCTGAAGCTGGAAGAGCCTTCCACAGTTTTTAACCGAGCCATTTCAATACATCTGTTCTGCTTTGACTGTGTGTTTTCAGATATAAACAAGAGAGGCATAAAGAGGCTTTTTGTCTCCCTAACTGCTGCGGTTGCACCCTGGCCTACCCTCAGCAAATATTTATTATTGATTTATATCACAATAACAATTTACGAGCCCCACTCATTGACCAGAACCAGATAGTGGTAGGCGCCGTACAAGTTTTAAATAAAAAGGACAGAATCCATCCCAAACAATCTACAAAAAAATATAAGACAAGAGACAAAAGGTTGATGCAGATGGGGGGGGATGGTTGTAAGGTACAGAAACTTGTAGATCAAATGTGTTCCTTCTTCAGACACTCAACATGCTAGGAAAGAACTTCTCTGATAAGCTAGTGTATGATACAAGATACTGTATTATCTCCTTTCTTTTCTTGCCTGAGCTATGCATCCCCCACTTCAACAGAGGAAGTACCCACCTGGGGTTTGCTCTGGTGTTCCACCAAGGGCTGGTGCAGACTGCTCATGCCTGGTCAAGCTCACAGCTTAAAAAACAAGAACAACTCTATTGAAATAAAGCAACTTCAGCTTTTGCATATACTCAGGGCTACCTGAGGTTAATCCAATATCATGTTCAAGTGCATCTAGTAATTCATTGTTACCATACAATAGGTTAGAAGAGTTGGTTTTTGTGCAGTAGTAATTTTTTTTGTATTCCATAACTCTTGTTTTCTTTATTACTCCATTTTGCTGATCCAAGAATCCTTAAGCAAGAAGGACCCATGCAGAACTAGGAGCTAAGCAAGAAGGGTTATGTAAGATTCACAGAACACTGTGAGTAAAATATATTTAGAGAAAATAAATGACCTCATTAATCATGGTAGCTCACTAGTACCCAGGATTTCTGTTAATTTAACAGGAACTATTATTAGGCCTTGAGGGGGTGAAGGGAGTTAATTGTTGCTGAATTATATTTTAAGTAAAGGGCTAGTTATCATTTGTAAAGTGCTCCAAAAAGGTGGGGAACATTTGGTTTTATTATTGCTTTTCTTGTAGTATATAAAAAAATATTCTACAGTGTTGGCAGTTTGTCAATTCACACAGCCCAAGAGATTTTCAAGAACCTAGTACCTTATGGTAAGATGTTAGTAAAAATGTTTTGTGGGGACATTACTATGCTGAAAAGAAAATTTTCAAATGCAGAGTAGCTGCAACAAGGAATTTCTAGTTGTCTGCATAATCTAAACACATGCACAGTGCTATATAAAATGACACAAATATTAATATTAAAAAGCTGGAAAAACAACATTTCATTTTCCTGGAACTACCTCTTCTCCGTGCACAAATCTCAGTCCACAGCCCACCATATGTATTAATACAGCCTTGCTTCAGACCATTTCTTTCTATTAATAAAATAACTACAGCACAGAACAGGAAAGCTGTCTAGGCTTTTGGCAAAAGTCACTGGGCAAAGTCCAGATTGGTCCCCTGGCACCTCAAACACAGGCACCAGAGCACCTAGAAATAAGGAACCTGGCCTCAAGGGGTGATTCAAAGATGTAGGGTTAGCCCCTTAGGTCCATGATATGGTCACTGGGGAGAGTTAGGAGCCACCAAAGGGCAATTCAGAAGTTGCAGACCTAGGTGGGGAGCCACCTAGAGTTAGATGACAGGCAACACTGGAGCACAAGGGTGTTTCGCACCTGCCCCTCTCTTGAGCTTAGGTGCCTGACTACGGTCTGCACATTATGTGCCTCGGTTCACTCAGGATGGGCAGGGCCTGGCAGCATTAATGGCAATGCCCACATTTTGCTTACTGGCTTGGTAGATGGAGTGTTCACCCAGAAAGTGGGAGACCAAGTTCTGCATCCTCCTGAGTCCAAAATGATTCACTCCCACATCTCCCACCTCCCAAGACAATGCTCCAGCCACCAAGGTAAAGAATAGTCTGGGGGGCACCTTCCACCCCTCTTGTTGATGCATGGATGTTTTGCTGAAAGAAGTACAAGATGCATAGGGTCACTGAGAGAGCAAGTAAGAGGCAGTATGACTTTATAAACCAGTTAGGAGAACAATCCCCTGAGAGAGGCATCCAGGGTTCTCACCCTTGCTGCCAGGATAATTTCTGTTTTTTAACCACTGTGTAATGGAAATGGCATAAACATTTCTCACAGCAGGGGACAGACCCCAGGACTCCATCACTGCACCACAGCCCCCTAACACTGCACTACAGAGGCAGGCTCCCTCTTGCTTGCTCTCCTTCTGGCACCATGAATCTTGTACTCTTGACTACCCAGTCAGCCAGCTTCAACAAGACAAGACAAGAAAGCACCCACACAGCCTAACCATAACTTGGAGGTTAGGGCACGCTCCTGGAAAGTGGGGGAATGTGGGTCTGAATCACCTGCATGTAAGGAGGATCTAAACTCTGATCTTGAGTTTTTGTGTAAGTGCTCTCACTTCCAGTCTACTGGGTGAAAGGTGAGCCTTACCATTACTTCCTGAGATGACAGAAATGCCTGCCCCCTGCTGCCCTAGATCAGATCCCTACCTTCCAATAGAGTGGGAACTCAGAAACACTTTTGTGCCTAACATTTTGACTGGTTAGGTGTAGATGCCTCTCTGCCGATCAACCAGATGATGTGGATTGCCCTGGGAAATACCTAAGTCTCCACATTCACTGTATAGAAATCCTAGGCTTCTAACCTGTCAAATTTGGATCATTCTCCAGGACGAGGAGAAAACAAAACCTAGGTCTCCCATCTTATTGGGTACTCTATTAAGCTAGTGTGCAAAAGATGAGTGGCAGTGACTCTACCATGAGCAGCTGCGCTCTATGCTAAACTCTAGACTGTTGACGTGGTAGGCATGGTCAAAGCACCCTTAACAGATCATACTTAAAAGCCTATTTTGTAGTCCAAAATGTAGGCACTGAATGAATTTAGGTACCAAAAGACTTTGTGGCTGCTGAATAAGGAGTTACTCTGGATCATTTTGTGTGACTTAAGCACCTAAATTCCATTTTACCAACCTGGAACAGGCCCACTGACTCCTAACTATCTGAGTAAGATTTGAGGCAGTCCAAAATGCCAACCTGCTAACATATGCCAGTTGGATGAATACTGAAAGCTCCAATGTGTACCCAGGAACAGGATACAGTCTTAAGTGAGAAGATGCAGGCTTATCACAAAAATATAAATGGATACTCAACGAATTTTGGTGGTTAAGGTTTCTGGAAGGGAGAGCGCCCTCTTTGATTCCACTGGTCCCTTCACACTGTCCCTCAGGGAACGCACACTCTTCTGACGATTGCGTGCGAAACGAGCCCTCTTGATCTTCCACATTGCTGCATCACTGAGGTTGGCGACATTTGTCCGGACAGCAGTGATAGCTTTGCAAATGCAATTGACCAAGTTAGGATTCATTCCACAGCTTAGTTAGGTCCTACTCCTATAAAATGCCTCATGCCAGGGGGCCCCAAGCCCCACTGAAGTCAATAAGGTTTCATATGGGTGCAAGGGGTCCACTTGCAAGGAACTCATTTGTGAATCCTAAATTGTATAATCCCAAACATTTTCAACAAGTTTAAAAAAAGGTAAATTGGTTCCTTCCCTATATATCAAAGATAGGGCAAACCAGACTCTTCCATCTAAACCCTGAAATTCTTGCTAGGAGAGGGCACAATTCTTTCACCATTTCAGAGGGCAGAAATCTCATGAGAACAGGTCAGGAAGGTCCAGCACTGTTGAATCAAAACTCGGAGTCTAGTCTGTCTAGCATCAGACTCCAACCTTAAATAGCCTACATCTAATTGGATTTGGACCTCCACATGCCTTTGTAAACTGTTTCAGCATGCTTTCTCACTGGGAAGTTACACCAGCAGAATTCCATTGGCCTTAATGGAATCAGTGATGAGATGTGCAGGTGTCCATAAGACATTCAAGATTTAGATGTTTACAATCTGAGTGACCCAAAAAGCAGAAACTCAGATCCCCTACACTCTTTACAGTTATGTTTGGGAAAGTAATAGGCAAGGGGCAACAGATGACATTTGCTGCATTTATGTGTTAAATGCTTCCAGATATCCTTACTTTGTGTTATATAAAATAAGATATAAAATAATCATCCAAAGACAAGTTCCTTATTATTTTGTCGTAGCCTATTGGAGGATTGAAAGAGATGGCACCTAACAGGTACTGTAGAAGGAAACAATTTATGTGCAGTTCATCTGTTAACAAATATTTGTTACAGGTACCCTGGGAATTAACAGTTGAGCACCTGAACTTCCCATGTTATATCATTGTCCCTATTTTTCCATTTGTGTTTTTTTTGGATTGTACATCTTCTGGACAAGGGACTTATCCTCAGCATAACAGGGTCCAATCATGTTTAAGGCCTTTATGAATAACAACAAACTAAAGATCCATCTACACTGAGGACCAAGAACAATGTTTAGGGAACTTGCACAAAAATCCAGTCTGGCTAACTTGATTAGTCATAGAATCAAATCACATTTCAGCCAAGTCAGAGAACCAGGCTCTAGCAAAAACAGAACATGGCATCCAAACCTGTAAACACAATATAACAAGAATGGACATCTCTACTGGGCAATCAGAACACACAAAGACTGGGTTATCCTCTTTTAGTTTAAAATGACTACATCAGTTCAGCAAACTTGGTTTAAGCCCCAGAGCAGATGCAGCCTTCATTTCTCCCATTCCCTCCTGCAGGTATCTGAATTCAGGCAAAGGTGAAAAAGCGATGTGTTTTGGATTCTGCTTACTTGTTGGAAAAGGGAATTCTTTGTTGCAGTCCAGATGAAGCTGTGCTTCCAGAGAAAGCGTCTCAAAGCGATTCACAAAGAACTCCCAGCTCAAAGCTGGAATGTCCCTCTTTAGAAAATGAAGGAGCAAAAGCTTGCTAAGAATCGTGGGTCTGTCCTTGACAACTGTATCAAACTGGAAGTCAAGGCAGAGGCAGAGACCCTGGGAAAAAAAAAGATAAGAACTCAGATGTGAAGAGTGTATCTTTAAAAGCACCAAACTTCCCAACTTCTCCAATCATCTAACCCTAAACATGAGCTTACTTCTGACACAAATCATGATTAACTACTGAAATCAGTGTGCAACCATTTAAGTAAAGAATCAGGCCCTCTCTGAATGGGGAATTTTCTATTTTAATTTTAGGAAACACAAAGGCCTAGAGCACGATTCTGCCCTGTTGTACATACAAAACATAAAATTCTGCTTTGTTCCTTCTTGTTATGCTATCCAGTGGGATTATCCCAGTGTATTGACTTCCAGTCTTAGAAGTGGAGCAAGCAATCTAGAGTTATGTAGGAATCAATATACTGCCTCTAGAAACAGTCCCAGTCTTCTAATCAGATGAGAAGTTGCTCTTAGTATCAGCTATGCAGATGTGTCCACAGTGTACTTGCCTTAGAATTCTTGGGCCAATTCTGCCTACACTTACATTTAGGCAAAACCATTACTTCCAAGGAATCATGAAATGTAATTGGGGTTGTGGAAAATTTAGCCATTCATTTTCACCCTTGCTATAAAAGTAGTTTTGGTGCAGGTGCATTTAAATAACACATATATGTGTATTAAATAAAACAAAAGAGTGCTATTAGAAGGGATTCTGCCTGGTGACAGGAATGCAAGGAATTACAGTGCATGGACAGAGATACATTACACATCTCTGTCCATGCAACCTCCTATTGATAATTGATATCAGCACCCAGAAAGATTCTGGATCCTATCATCAAGGAATCAATTCTAAGCACCTAGAGGATAACAAGGTGAGCAGGAATAGTTTACACAGATTTGTTGAGAGCAAGTCATGGTTAACCAACCTGGTTTTATTCTGTGACAAGTTTATGGGCTTTGTGGATGGGGAGAAAGCAATGGATATGATATATCTTAGTTTTAGTATGGCTTTTGATATTGTTTTCCATGGAGTCCTCATAAGTAATATAAGGCAATACAGTCTGAATGAAACTACTGTAAGGTGAATGCATAACTAGTTGAATCATTTATCAGAAAGCACTCATCAATGGCTGAAAGTCTAACTCAGAGAATGTATCAAGTAGAATCCACCCCAACAGGGCTCTGTCCTGAGTCTGTTCAGTATCTTCACTAATGACTTAAAGGTGGAACGGAATAGACATACAGTAAATCTGAAGATAGCACCAAACTGGCTGGAATAGCAGACATTTTGGAGTATAGAATATGTATTCAAAATGACCTTGATAATACTGGAGAAATTGTCATAAATTGGATTAAATTTAATAAGAAAATTGCAAAGGACTTAGTACAGAACAAATCCAATGAAGAAATACAAACTGGGGAACAAATTAATAGTCAGCAGTACTGCAGAAAAAGGCCTGTGCATTACAGTGGATTGTAAGGTGAATATGAGCCAACAGCATACTACTGATGCAAAAAATAAGGCAGTAGAATACTGGTCCATCTTAACATATATACCATACACAAGTCAGGGGAAGTAATTCTTCCACTCTGTTCAGCACTGGTGTGGCCTCACCTAGAGCACAGTTCCAGTTCTTGGCTCTGTGCTTCAAGGAAGATGTAGACAAATTGTAGCGTCCAGAGGTAAATAACAAAAATTATCAGAAATCTAGGAAATATGACTTATGAAAAAAAGTTCTAAGAACTGTGATTCTTCCACCTGGAGAAGGGAAGAATGAGGGGGGATTCAATCATAGTCTTCAAATACAAAAATGTGGTTATAAAGAGGGTGGCAGTAGATGCCTCTTTATAGACAAAAAGTAATGGTACAAGGGAAATTTAAGTGGGGTATTAAGAAGAATTTCTAACTATGAGGGTGCAATAGCATTGGAACAAATTACCTACAGAGGATGGGGATCTCTAGAATGGAAGTTTTTAAAAGTAGGTTAAACAAACTTTTGTCTAATCAGCTCTTAAAAATGGAGATGCTTTTAACCTGGATGGTTGTCTCTTGACCTCCTGCGGTTCCTTTCAGTCCTATTTTTCTAGGACTCTGTTCAACAGTGTCACATCTATAAACTTATGGATTTCAATAGGTTATTCTACTAGCTGATCTCTTTTAAGCATATTAACCTTTTATAGAAGCAGAACATTGGCTGCCATGGTTCTCCTGCCTTGCCTGTGGCAGGTCAGGATGTTATGTCTTGTGTTGTGTCAGACGATAATCTTACAAAGAATTTAAACTATAAATTGTATAAGTTGGTTTGGATAGGGATAATCATGCCTCAGAAAGGGGGTTGAACTAGATGACCTCTGGAAGCCCCTTCCAGTCCTACTTCTCTATGATTTCTATGATTTCTAATTGAAATCATAATTGAAAAATCTATTTTAAATTGCTTAATAGTGATTTAAGTCAAAACTATAGTTCTGATCCTGCTCTTCTTGTCCACCCAACATTCCCATTGATTTCACTGGGAGGTTTAAGTATAAAAAGTAAGGTAGGGCCTGACCCTAAATCGGGAAGATAGATAACATGGCTAAAAGTATCAAAGTCATCAAGTCTGATTATACGTAGTTTTGTTTTATTAGCCCAAGACTCTTGCTGTTGGTGCCAGCATTTGGGTCTAGAACAATGACAATGGAAAAAAAACATGGAAATGCAGCATATGGGAGACAAGTATGTTTTCCTTGCCAAGAAGAATGTCTGACTGGATTGGAAAGAAAAGTCTGGCTTTGGAGGGTTACTTAACTTTCAGTGCATATCACCACTGTTTCAGAACACCAGAGGATGCATTTTCAAAGTTTGACAAAGCATTGTAGCTATGCAACTCCCACTCATTTCACTGTACACTTCCTAAGACATGCTTTGAAAGTGTATCCTAGGTACATAGACAGACAGATGTATAGGTAACCATATACTGAGCACATCGTGGAAACATCTGCATTGCTAATACCCAGAATGACCTTCCATATGACAGGTAATTCATAGCAATGCAGGGTTTAGCACTATTCCTAGATGCATTGCCTTTATTCCTACATAACTCTAGAGTGTTTCTTGTACTTACAGATAGGATGAATATATACAGAGGTCACAATTCCTGAACCTTTTAACTGCATTTTATGGACAACAGTATTGGAATTATTACTTAACTATACTTTCAGTTGTATCTACCAGTAATTGTACAATGACAATTTCCATTTTGCATACATAACATAAGCCCTGATCCTTCATTGATTATATATGTGTTTCATTTTGATCATGTAGGCAGTCCAATTAGTAGAGACCGAAGTTTAAGCACTTACATACATTTTTCAAAGTCAAAGCCAGATCTAGTTTGTTCATATATGTTTTTTACTATCAAATTACCTGTGAATAATTTACCCTATGTGAGCAAAAATGTACCCTAGCTTCACCCATATAAAACTACCATATTTTCCTGCATACCATATACCAACAAATAAGACATGCACTTTGTCTTTGGGAAAGCAGATTGGAAGAAAAAAAAAAGTTATTGCTGCATACAGAATGGGCATAGCCTAACCTTCAGCTCATTCAGCCTCCCTTTCCTGTTACAACTACAGTTGTAACCTTTTCATAGCTGAACTGTCAGTAGTTCTTAGATGCTCAACCAAAAAGTGAATCTGTAGCTGCTGCTGAAGACTGGATTCCATAAGCAGATGTAGGATTTTTAAAAGAGCTAAAAATAGTCTTCAGGGCTGAGAAATAAGGGAATTAAGACCAGGAATAGCTATCAGGCAGCAAAATTACCAAAGAAAGGATAGCTTGATTCGTGAAACATCAAGACCTTTGAAAAAGAGAGAGGGTCGTTAACATATGTGTAGTGAAGTATGATCTGCAGGAATCAGGTATATTATAATGAGCCATGAAGTCAGTTAATTTCCTCAGCACTGCCTGAAGAGAAATGCTTGCTGCTGCTGCCAGGCAGTTGATTATAAATTTTGATTTGAGTAGGTACCAAAATAGGGTGCAATTGTACTAAGCCACCCTCCCAAATCTGCTCTGTTCAACTCCATCCCTCCCTCCATGCAGCTTCTGGAGGAAGAGAAGGCAAAGCATCATCCTTATTCTTGTATTCTGGACAGAAAATCAGATTCCCTGTTTAAGAAATGCAACCCAATTTTGGAAAGCTAATTTTTTTAGCATGGTATATGAGTAAATACGGTAATCAGCATGCTGTCAGAACTGTTCAGATGCTATTCAGCCTATTGTAGGCGTTAGTGTCTGGAGTCAGAGGAATACATCTAGAATATGTAACAGGCATTTTTGCCTGTGCATCTCCTACTTACTAACAGCCTTAAAAAGTTTTGCCTTTTGATGTGATAGTGATAGGCCTTCCCCACTTGTTAACAGGAACACCATTCATCTTTGGGTCTGAAATCCAGTCTTTGTTCCTTGTGCCTGTCTTTATAGTTAGTGTATGTGTTTTTATTAATAAAGTGAACCTACCTGTAAAGCTGGTCTCTTTATAGTATCAAGCAATAGCCCAGCTCTTGTTGCTACTGCTGGGTTGACATCTTCCACAGCAGTCAGAAAACAGCAGAATGCATGGGCCAAGGAATATTTAAGTAAGTGATTTTTTGTCACTGAGTGAATATCCAGAAACCTGCACAACACGGCCACCTTCTCCACTGCCACGGCCAAGCCCCAAGAGAGAAAATATTCAAATTAATTCTGGAAGTG